AATAAAGTCTAAATAAGTTGTTCAGATGACCAAAGCACAAGGTTTTCTTGCATAATTAACATTTTAATTGTTTGGTCAGACAATTACACATTCATAAATCGGGGATTAAACGTTGAGTTATGTTCTGTATGCTAAATATGAATATATAAACAAGCGTATGTGCACAGTACCTAAAACTGCGCTTTGTATCTGCTTTCTGCTGATTGAGATTGACATTCTAAATGGCCGACTGACCAGGTACACTCTCATTCATTTCGTTCACGAACGATATGTACCAGTTCATTCAACTCGTTTGCGAACGACATGTACCAGTTCGGTCATTTCGTTCACTAACGAGAAGATCTCTCGACCTCATTCAGACTAAAAAGAAACTCATTCAGTGAAGGGCGTATTCGTTTACTACATTCAACAAATCACATGCTCCGTCACATCTCAAACTCTAAGGCTATTGGCTCGACGTTTAGTCATTCTTTGACAGGATGAAACAGTTCACAGAGCTGCCCGGTTCACTGAACTGCGCATGCGCTGCCAATAGCGCCGCGCTGCTCTGGAGGGAGGAATTTCAGTGAACGAAAAATATGAGTCAATGGATTACGTGAACGAGAACGATTCGTTCACCTAAAAGAGTCGTTCAAAAAGAACGATTCGTTCACGAACGAAACATCACCAAGCAACTGGGATGGTGCCCCCCTGGGAGTTGGTGCCCTACGCAAACTGCGTACTCTGCGTATAGGTAGCGGCGGTACTGTTTTGAAGCATTGCAGCTGGTTTAAACTGGTCCTTAGTTGGACATGAGCTGGTTTAAGTGGTTATAAGCTGGTTATGAGCTGGTCCTGAGCAGGAGCTAATTGCTTAGGACCAGTGTAGGATCAGCAAATGACCATCCTAAACCAGCTCAGAACCAGCTTATGACCAGCTCAGAACCAGCTTAAACCAGCTCAAACCAGCTGCCATGCTTCAAAACAAACCTAACCAGCATATGCTGTTTTTCCTCAACAGGGAGATAAGAGAGACATCTGAAATGTGCAGTGCTGGGGGTTCTCCAGGACCAGGATCGACAACCATTGCCCTAAAAGGTGTGTATTACTGCCTTAGAGTACAACTATGAACCATTTAGGGGCGAGTAAGGTACAAAGATGTCCTTCTGAGGGAACTGCCCCAGCGATAAGCTGTTGTACCCTATTTTTGGACATTATTTGGGGAGTGCTGAAGTCCATTGTGACAGTCATTAACTATTGTACAAATTGCTCTTTTTACAACTGATCCTCAAACCTTTTTTTATACCAATTCATCAATTAAATATACAATACACAATATATAAGGTACATGTATTTCCTAACAACACGAAGGGAATGCATAAGGCATATACTGTATATTATTAGGCTTAAGTTATTATAAAGCTGTATAATATAGTAAGGATGTAGTATATAGTAAAGTATTCTAAACGATGAGTAATAGAAATTAAATCGGACTCAATTCAGTGAGTAAACGATCTTTTTTTAGTGAGACAAAAACATAAACAATGTGTTTATACTGACATCTTCTGGTTACTCTCAGTACTGTCACACATCTCAGAAATGGCTGTTAAGATGATTTTCTATGTAGAGACTGCAGACCATCTTATATTATCTTATTAGCATTAGTGGTATCATACATAATTACATTACAATGAGTCGAGACTGCTGTGGTCCTTAAACCTCAATGTCTTGTTACATTTATTTGGGAAAAGTGGAATCAGTAGCCTATGCTAACGTGTTTTTAAAAGCAGGAATAGGTTGGGATTGGCTTTAAATATTTGAGGTATGCAGCTAGGGAATGTTCCAAATTCTAGTTAAAAACCTCTGGGGCAAATATGCATAGGCCTACGTGTGTAAGAACATGAACAGTCAGCGTAACTTTCGTCTTGTATAATCTCGTATGAATTCCCTGAGCTGTTGATGAGCTGTAAAATGAACAGAAGTAATTATGGAAGCTCTTAAAATGAAATAATGTCATGCTTCTGTACACTTTATGATTTTCATAGACTCATCAGAGTCATCAAAAACCTCAAGGCAGCATCTGTTAAAAGTATATGTACATTTAAAAAACAAAAATAGTCATTTGATGAAAATAACCACAGTTTAGCGTCTCTTGACATAATAGCAATTTGATCTCATCTGCTGCCAGTGATTTACTTTGCATAAAGTCATCATTTAAAGGTTAATTAATGTCACAAGCATTTGTCCCTCGGGGAACAGAAAGACACAATGCTGCTGCAATTCTATAGGAGTCTAAATGTAATATTGTCTTTAAAGGTAGCCTGCTTCCAACAGGCTCGGATCCAGCTGAAGGAATCACGTTGGGAAACATAAATCTTCGGGCCTAAGGGTTGCATTGTTACAGAATATCAGAGTAGCATGTTCTGAGCTCCAAGATATAATTTAACAGCTTTTAAAATGTAGTAGCTCCCCGCCAAGAGCATTGTAAGAGCAAGACAGGGAAGACCACAGCGCTTTGAAGTTGTGTGCGTTTTGCTACGGTTTAATCATCAGTGAAGACGCTCCCACGTCATTCAGACACATGGCTCACGTTTCAGTTCCTACAGGGCAAAATGACAGAGTTTGTGTAGGAGAGCTGATATTTCACACATCTTTGTCCCAGAGACTAAATAACGTCTTTTAGAAAGCCTATTAGTGGCCCTACAGCCTATGAGTGCCCTTATAGCGTTTGTTGGAGCATTAGCTTTACATTATGCAACGTGCAAGAAGGAAGGGTCATACGCAGATGTGAACAATATATATATATATATATATGCAAATGCTTTTAGGTTATGTGTGACTGCAGAACATCCTCAGTTTTTCATAGTGAAAGTATTTCATCTTGTTTTTGGTGACTGAGGTGTGGTAACATCTATAGATAGCTTCAGAATAACATTATCTTCATAGTAGTCTACTACTAGACTGACCATAAATAAGTGTTTCTGAAACTATGGACACTTTTGGCCTTATAATAATATAAATAAAATTATATAAATCATTTTCACATAATATTCATCACATATTTATATTTTTATATAGTTATATTAAAGTTTATATTAATTTCACTCTTTTTTTGTATTTTTAATGTTTAGATAATATTCTCGGACAAGGCACAAACTCTTTACATGAAAGGCAATTGAAAAAAAAAAAAACACTAGAAAAAGTTAAAAAATTAATTATGAAAGTGGGTTTCCAAGGTGACCTTCATATCTAACCTTCATAAAAAGTATTTTTTTTTAAATAAAAATAACCTCAGAAACACCCATGATATTATTTTTTCAGTACACATTAGAAATGAATAAAAAGTAATTTATGAACAGAGCTGGGTATTTTGATATAAAAATGCAAAGAAAAAGAAAATATATTTCTTTCATTGTTATTAACAACATGAAGTGCATTAAACATTACATGTCAAGGTTTTCCAAAGTAGGGTTCGTGAAGGAACTTCAAGGGGTTTGTCAGTTAAAAAGCTAATAATGAATTAAATCATAAAAATGTAAAATTAAAATAGACTATTTTAAATATCAATCAAAATAAAGCACTTAGCCCACTAAAAAATTTAATATTTTATTTGTTTACCAGCATGTAATTTGACAATGAGAGATAACTTTGAACATGAAAATGTGTTATGTGTTAAAATCTCAGGGGGACTTCATATTAAGTGGAAGAGATTCAGATGACAAAAAAAATGTGGGAATCCCTGCATTACATGTAAATAAGAAATAACGTGAATTTGTGCATTTTAATGTGTTTGAAAGACAAAGGCCTTTTAAAGACATAGTAATGCATGGTTAATTAACCCACTAAGTGATAATTCAAATAAAAATGAACGTGTTTATCACTAGTTTAATGCAATGTTGAAATGTTAAGAAAACACTTAAAAATGAAATGATTTTTGTAAATATGTAATCATGTAATTAATAAAAAAGTAACTGTAGTCTGATTATGAGTAGGCTATTTTAAAATATAATTTAATCTAATTACAAGTACTTAATTTTTGGAATCTGGTTACTTAAACCAGATTACATAGCTATCAGTTACTACTTATGAATTACCTCTGAATGTAAAACATGACAAATTATAATTTAATCACAAACCTTTTCACTCTATTGATCAATATCACGTTTTAATCTTAAATAGTTGAGCAATGCATTATATTATGATATTTAAAGGGACAGTTCAGCAAAATGAAAATCCTGGCACCATTTCATCAACAAGATGATCCATACCAGCTTGTCTTTATTTCTCCTGTGGAACACACAAGGAGAAGTCAGGAAGAATGTTAGGGACTGACAGCATTTGTCATCTTTCACTGTTATTGCATTATTCCCATACTATGAAATGTGAACTTTTCAATTCCTAACATTTTATGGAATTTTAATAACGGAATACAAAGTATCCAGTGTTGTTGTAAAATTATGTTAAAGTTTACTTAACTTATTACAGAATCAGACATTTGAGACCGCTACAGTATGGGTAATATTTCATTAAAAAAAACTACCATACCCATAAATCTCAGTATTTTTGCATAATCGCCAAATCTCTTTCACTATAGCACTTTCTGTGACGTTTAAGGGGGCGTGCGCCTTTTAGCAAATTATCAACGCATCGAACGCCGATTGGGCGAGATCCTCCACGTGACTCACATCATCCAATCAGCGGCTATACCGATGAATACATTTCCATCTTTCTAAAGGTGAGTTCTGAAAAATTATGACGTGAAACGATGAAGTCTTGCTGTGTTGTCACCATCTGTTTGCAGAGGAACAAAGTGCTTCAAAGCAAACATGATGAAACAAACAGACGTGTTAAGTTTCGAAAAACGGCAAGGCTACATTGCATAAGGGCTCCAGAATTGAAGATCCCGATAGCGTTTACGAAACAAATTACAACCAAAGGGAAAAAGCCGCTATATTATTTTTCGTAAGTACGTACTGTAAAGTTTCTGCGTGATTCGTGAAGACTCTTGTGCAATATTGTACAGTAAGTGACCCGTGCTTCGTCCCACTTATTTTAAATAACAACGGAACACTTTCAGAAGTTGTGTTGATTTTCCACACTCTGCATATTGATGCTTATCTTTACATATTGTTCTATGACTTTTTATAGTCCATGCGTCTGAATGTCAGTGAACGTAATGCAATTTTAAACCCATATGTGCATTTACACGTGTTTCTTGTGTCTGACAGTAAGTGCGCAATTGTTCTGAGTGTCCCTCCACTGCGCGAGGATGAACGTGGGCACAGCGCACAGTGAGGTCAATCCAAACACGCGAGTGATGAACAGCAGGGGTATATGGCTCTCATATGTGCTTGGCATCGGCTTCCTACACATCATATTGCTCAGCATACCGTTCGTCAGCGTTCCTGTGGTCTGGACCCTCACCAACCTCATCCACAACTTGGTAAGAGCTGCTAAATCACATCAGGCTAGAAAGTTTAACTGCTAACTTAATATTAACATAGATCACCGTATTACGTTTTTAGGTTAGAGGTTGTTGTTTTGCTAAAACAACACGGTACCAAAATTGTGTATAATTAAAAAAGGTACCAAAATTACCCTTAAATCAAGCTCTGAAATGTATTTGAAAAGACTATGAACTCCATAGGCCCAAAATATGCAAAATTATTAACATGGCATATTGACTGAACTGGTAAATGTCCATGGTTTAATGCAGTAATTTATTATACAGAACAAATTGTGCTCAAACTGTGTTTGTCCTCGCTGCAAGTGAACTTATTTTTGTATAGTTTGTATATACTTTTGTAGCTATATGTTTTTAATACTATTTTATACTAGGCTATAGTTTAATATAGTCTGTGTTGTATCTTTTTTTAAAAACGTTTTTGTAGCTTGTTTATAGTTCACCATCCATCTAATTAGGAAAGCGTCCAAGTGACCGTTGAATTTCTACATTTTTTTTACTGTGCACATCCAACAAAAGATATGTGAAGCATTTGTCCTCCTGTTTACAAGTTGGTTATTGCTATATATTTTACTATTGTAAAGGCCTGTAGACTCTGATAACTATAAAGTTTTAATAAACTTTTTAATTCTGTGAGAATAGAAGTCCAAAACTATAATGATAATGACAGGAACAATATATTTGGAATCACGTTAATTTCATTGAGTGATAAAAACATTGACAGCTAGTCAGAATCCACTTGACTTTTAAGAGCTTGAGCATTCGAAGTTGCAGGCAACATAACTAAATAATAAATATAACATTATCATGCATTGATGTGAATGCTAAAATGGACAGGTGTGAACAGGCCTTAACTACAGTATAAACAGTAGCATTGTTATTTCCTGTTGTCACAACCCATAACAGATCTGCAACTCATTTTGGCTAACAGTCTGCCAAGAGAAAACCATTGCGTTAGTTTCATAGTGTAAATGTAGCACAGATGCTTTCTTAAGAGTGTAGAAGATTTTTATTGGTCAAAATATGAACTACTCAAGTATAATCAACGTGAATCAAGCCATTTATATCTCAAGTTATTCCACTGTTATAATCATGTATCTGCCTGTGTGTGAGGCCTACATGAGAATGGAATGTGCAGACAGTGCAGGGGTACAGTGACATTACAAAAATACAGTATATGGTAAAGTTGCATGTCCTATTTTGACATTAGACAAAATATATGATTAGGCCTCCTCGTTTCACTTAAAATAAATTCTACATCCTAAAAGCAGGCTGGAGACACAGCCAAAAGAGGTAAAAGAGTTGATAAACAATAACCATATGTATGAAATGTATTTGAACATGGGCACGCCTTCTGATAGCACTGTATAAAAGAGAGAACAGACACAGACTCGATAGATTTTCTGCAGATCATCTCTAGACTGCATTATCTCTCTAATAATAAAAGTCTATTCTTCTGGCATCCAAACCCAAAGACTCTGAGAATGATTCCTCACAGCACCGGCAGAAGCCACCACAAGAGCTTCTTAAGATGCAGAGGCTTAAAATAATCATTTGTTTTGTGACAGTCCCCAGCTGCAGAAACTCTGAAACGGCAACATTTTTTCTTGCTGAATTTTGGCCCGTTCTGTTGCTGACTCCAGGTTCTGTAATTTCAGCCAGTGTTGGACTAACAGAGCCATCCTGTATCGCCTTTCTTAGCCGTCCTGCTCCCAAAACGGATCAGCTCTTGCTGTTGTCCTAAGACAGGGGTGGCGAACTCCAGTCCTGGAGAGCCGCAGCCCTGCAGAGTTCAGCTCCAACCCTAATTAAAACTCACCTGCCTGTAGTTTCCTAATAACCCTTCAGACCTTGATTAGCTTGTTCAGGTGTGTTTGATTAGGGTTGAAGCAAAACTCTGCAGGGCTGCGGCTCTCCAGGACTGACGTTCGCCACCACTGTCCTAAGAGTTTCACAACATCTGCTGATAGAGCTTTGATGAATTGTACCAAAGGCCATGATGTTCTGTGACTGTCTTTCTGCCATAGTGCATGTATATCTTCCTACACACGGTAAAAGGAACACCGTTTGAGACTCCAGACCAAGGCAAGGCCCGGCTTCTGACCCACTGGGAACAGATGGACTATGGGGTCCAGTTCACCGCCTCTCGAAAGTTTCTCACCATCACCCCTATTATACTGTAAGAGTGTTCGCCTTTGCTCTGTGCTGTTAGAAGCTTCGTTCTGCATGTCATGCTAATTTATCCCTTTTGGTTGTGTTCTGCACACGCACTGAGAAGGCTTTCACAGCTTGCTCTGCATGACCATGAGCAAGAGGCAGTGATGCTGACTTCCTGTGGGGTCTGCTGGCAAGGAGAGCCGGATTTAGAAACAGTTAGTCAGTCAGTCAGGTCATTTGCTCTACTCTTTTTCTTCTCTCTCGTGTCTTCTCCTCTCATATTGTGAGGGTGTATCTGTTGGTTACAGTGAGGAATAAGGAGGTTTGTCTTGATTTTACCGCTGTTCTTAATGTATCTTAATTAAAAGATATTTGACAAGAAAAAAAAAAGTGAGTGAGTCTTCCCTGCTGACAAAACCAGAACCAGTCTGGTTTGCTGTTCTTGGCTCGTGTAAGTTGGTCTTAGATAGTCTAGCTGGATTGCTAGCCTGGCCAAACTGGTGTTTAGCAGCAGAAAAGTACTTCAAGCCCCTCTAAAACAGCCTGACTAGTCTGAGAGGGCAGCTGAGATCAGCAAATCAGGTTTAAGATGTTGTTTTCAGCTGGGTTGATTATATCCTTTGAGAAGTGGATGGTGAAAAGCGGGCATTACATAGTAGCAGTGTTATTTTAGTATTATTTATATACTATTATAGTGTTAATTGATATTTCAAACTAGCTTTAATTTTTTTGTTTTAATTTTAGTTTTAGTATAAGTACCATATTTTCTATTCTTTTTCTATTTAGCTTTAATATATTTTTTGAAGTAAACTCCAACTTCAATTTCAGTTAGTTGCCAAAGGCAAGTTTGTTTTTCCATCTAATATTTGTATTTTATTTTATTCTAGCATTATGTCAATTAAAACATAACAACAATGCATAGTATAATGTAGATTTGCTACAAGAGTGTCTAAAAAGCTATCTGACTATTGCTTAAGTTTGCAGTAACAACTTGCTGGATGTATATTATCCTGCTTATTACACGGCTACTTGCCACATAAGTAAATAATTAGACACAAAATATTGATTTGAGTTATATTTTATTAGATCTTTAAAAATGATCCGAAATCAATATTTGAGCAAGTACATAACCAGCCAGTGTTCAAAACCCGACTCACAACGGTTAGCTTATAATAATGTTTTCTAATTTGAGTGGTACGGGTAGGTTTTCGCGGGAAATTCGAGCATGGCACTGCGTCATTACGTCACTTCTGTAAACATAAAGAAGTTGTCCCGGCTACTAGGCTATCGCATGTGAGGATCCTGCATTCATTAAATAACTTATAAAGTAATTTGAAAACCTTGTGTGAGATGTAATTTCACAAATGGCGTGAGTGAATCACCGTGCGCGCTCTCTCTTTCTCAAAATACGCAAATGGCTTCAAATCGCCACACATCGCGTCTGTCTATAAGCGAGCTGCACGCTGCACAGTTGACACAGGAATTGTCACTTGCACAATCGAGGCAGTGTCACATCGTCACTAAAGTTTATAAATTGCATCACTTTTTAATTCTTGCCTGTGTTTAACCATTCAGCACTCACGCGCTCTCCTGGAGACCGGGCGCTCATGCAAACTCACAACGCACACACATAATGCCAAGTTCACATTATTCCGTTTGCAGTGCATACGTGGTGCATATTTTTTCCTCGCTCATGTTAACGGATTAAAGCGTCCACTGCACACAGCTGCAGCCCGGCAGTGCATCCAGGAGCGGTGCGTTTGCAGCAGTGCAGAGATCGTTTCTGAGAGTGACAGCGCATTGTTTGCAGTAAAAATGAACATGGATTGACACGAAAATGTAGTAATTACAACATAAATGCATATTATTAAAGTCTACTGTGTTTCACATGTAATAAAGATTTAAATGCAAAAGGAAAGGCAGTAGAGCTGACTATTTCTGTCAAAATGTGATAACGTAAGAAAAGTCGTTTAAATGTTTTGCCACTTGCTTGTGCAACTTAATATATAAATCTAGAAGTAAATGCAAAATTAAAATGCATTGAATAATGTGTTGCTTATATTTATTGTTTAAACATGAAAATAATTGCAATGCTGAAAAAGCATTTTCAGTGACAATGTTTGGATTTGAAATCAAAATAATGGATAAATGTTGTGTTTGTGGTAAACAGCCACGGATCAG